ATCTCCTCAGACAGTAGCCTGTGTGGGCAGTGTGTGCGGTGACTTACCCTCTGCCCCCTCCCACCGGCGTTAATTGATTCTTGGTGAGCTTTGCTGATTGGTGTGAGGACCCCTAGAGGCGGGATCTCTCTGCATCAGTGCCCCCTCAACCGTTTACTCTGCACCTTTCAAACGCACTTAGCACACATAATTACATTTAGAAGGATCAGATCTACACCGCAGGAGTGTCTCCAAAAAGAGGGGCGCGGGACTCCAGGAGGGGCTCAACATTGTCTCTATGAACGTGTAAAACAAAACCTCATCCCGCTTGGCATTTGTTCATAACCACCTTTTGCCTGTTTCTAAATCTTTAGTTTTGGAATCATGATTCCCAAGCCGAAGTATAGGGTCAGCGCATGCAGACGTAGACATGTATGCTTGTGTGCGAGGGGGTTTCACACCCTGATAAAGAGGAAGCTGGCTCGCTGACATGAGCAGATTGTTTGAGATGATCCACTTAGAAAAAAGTGACTGTCGTGGAGGTGATTCATGGACAGTATAGGTGGGCGTAGATGTGTGTGAGGGGGGAGCGGGCCCAAAGACAGTAACAGAGATGAATCTTGGGTTATTAATTTCCAGCCGCGGCCCCTAGGTGAGATGTTAATATGGGGCTGATTGTGACTAATTTCTTATTAATTGCCATCAGCGATTACATAGTGGCCAGTAATGTGTCCTAATTTGTTAAAATGAATTTGGTTTTCAGAAGGCATTATAATTGCTGCAGGCAAAACTATTGTTTTGCTTTTGAATGGGAAAGTTTTTCATCTGCGTTGCTCCGTCTATAATTTTAGGCTTGTAAAATATGGAGGATAATTACCTCCATCACACTTACTGTAACATATGTTGTGTTATTTTCAGGGAACTCATGGGTTTGAATGATTTTTCTTTTATTTATTTACCATCACACATAAGTATGGTGTTTATGGTCATTACTGTTTGTTGAGTGTTTATAGCTTCCGCTAGTGCAGTCACAATGACCACAGAGAAACCAGTAGATACAACATCCAAATCCCTCTATAAAAGAGAAGATGCCCTCTGGGCAGCCATAGCTCATAGTTGGCCTGATTTAGTGGCAGCCTGGAATCTAGGCTTGAATAAAGACAGAGCGAGCGAGGTGAGAGTGGGGGGAGAGAGAGAGACAGAGGAAAAGATAGCTCCCTGTGTGATAAATAGCCCCAGCTCTTTCTATTGCATTAGCCATCCGGGCCGATAGATTGCGAGCCCAATAGACCCAGACGTATGCGATTGGTTTCTCATATAAAAGTTGCATATTAAATTCCTTCACAGGACTGTGCCCCCCAAGCATGAAGGAGGGATAGGAGGAATGGGAGTGAAAAAGCAGAAAGTGCAGAAAAGACTGGAAGAGCAAGAAGAAGGCTTTTTATGAGAGGTGAGGCACTGGAGAGAGTTGGGGAGGACTCAGAACAAGGAGAGGATAATGGCAGCAGGAAAGTAGCTTGATGATATGAAAGACAAATGGTGATGTCATGTATTTAATAAGTCCGTGGATATTGGACGATGAGTGAGACCATGCGTCCATTTAATCAGTATTGCTTCCCAATGAAGATTTCTCTTCTGTTTTGTGCTTGCTCCCCTTTCTTGTTTTCTCAGCCGCTCTTCACATGCTAACGACCTCTCTAATTGTTTCCAAACTCATTAAGGTGCTGATGTTTTAATAGTAATTAATCCGTCATTTGCCTACATGCAAACACGGGCCACAGAGGTTTGTTCCAACACACTTCTAATCCAGTAGCCTATTCAAAGGAAACAATATCCTGCTAATTTAGCTCATCATGGTTAATTGGTTGTTAAGTGCCTTTAATTACCAAGCAGGCTGTGGGATTTGGGTCGGCAGAAAAAGAAAGATGGCAGTAGTTATGTGCTGTATGCCTAATGGCTCTTGTGTGAACTTTGATAGCTGGTGTAAATGACTAAAGGGCATACAGACTTGCTTCTTCGTCACTCCAGTTCTTCTTCACTCCGTCCGTCTGTGTCCCTTCCTCCATCTCTGTCTTCCTCCTCTCCAGATATTATTAACTCATTAAGTTTTTTTCATTATTTTTAATAAAATATGAGTTATGGCTTTAGCCCCGGTGTGGCAGCCTCCCCTCTGCTCCCTCTCTCCTGCTCTCTTGTCCTGTCCTCTTGGGTTAGGGTTAGGCTCTGCTTCTTTTTGACCATGTGTACATCTTTCTAGCCTTTGACCTCGGAGCGCTCGCCTTTTGGCCTGGTCGTCGCTGGTCATCACTTCCTGTCCATCATTTTTGCATTTGCCTCATTCACATACATCTATCAATCATGTCCTCACCTCATAGCACTGAACAGTCTTTAGATGGCATTCATAAGATTTATGATTCATGAATCCTGAGCATTTGATGGAGGGAACAGACAGAGAAAGTGGAAAAGAGAGTGAGAGGAAGAGGGCTCTGTCGATGACATAGTTGAATAATGACAATGGGGATGATTGATGGCCTAGACAGAGCTGGCCTGTTTGTGTATGGCATCTGTGTGTTGAAAATGTAGCATTTTAGCCTGGATTAATTTGATGCAAAAGAAGAAATGATTAATGGCTTTCATGTAGTTTGGACGGTCAATGGTCACCTCAAAAAGCAGAGCAAATGAAAGCAGCAGAGTAGGGGAGCAGGTGACGGCAGGTGTCAGGGGACGCATGAGGCTTATGCAGGCAGAGATGAACGCTGATAAATGCCTCGCTGCTTCTGCTGTGTTAACCGTTCAGGGTTTTAGCCATTAAACGCCTTAATCAAATATTAATGACAATTCCCTGTCATTTCCTCACGTTTATGACCCCTCTTTATATTAGTTTCAATGGAGATTGTTTATATTGCCTAAAAAGTTTTAATATACAGCAGGATTTAAATGATGAGGTGTAATAGTGCGGCACAAGGTTAAGCGAGTAAATGGGGAGGTATTATTGAAATGAAATATGTTATAACAAATTAAAAGTTCATGCAGCTTGGGTCTGTTATTTACAAGAAGCAGTGTTTTCCTCACATTGGACAGAGAGAGCACATTTTAAAAAAATTGTAAAGTCGAATGTCTAAAAATGTCATTTTGTTTTAGTTCTAATCCTGATAGATATAGATACATGTTTAGGAAGATATATACTTAAAACGATATATACTTAAAACTTAAGAGGTAGTTAGAGGAAAAGCGACTGTTAAACTAGGAGCTCAGGGTCACAGCTTTTAATGTATTTAATGTTATTTTTTTTATTATTTTTATCATTACTTCTTTTTTTGTAAGAGCTGGCTCAAGACACACCTTTTTAAATTATCTTTTGACTAGTATTATTTATTAGTCATATATATATTATATATATATATATATATATATATATATACACTGTAAACCCTGACAAGTTAAGTTTACTTGAAAAAACCTTGGAAATAAACTGCACATTAACTTCACTTAAATTCCTCGAGTACATCCTTGCCAAGTGAACTCAATTGAATGCAATAAAGTTTGACTCTGATTTCAACTTTTACATATACTGTATCTGCTCCAACTGGGATTTTTACTCGGATTCTTTGCACTGAGGAGCAATGGTGCAACCCACTCAGCCAATATGCCACACTGTTTTTCACACACTTGCCATACTCATCACTCTACATGTTCAAATGATTGAAAGTGCAGCTTACTTGAACAGAGACAGCTCAATTCAAAGAAGGCCCTGAGTGGTATAGCCAAGCTTTAGATAAACTAACAATAAACAAGTACTATTTACTTACTGGGAAAAAAACATTTAAAATAACGGTGATGTCGTCAAGTAAGATTGAAATTAGGGTTTACAGTGAATATAATATTAATATATTATTATATTACTTTCCCATTGTAGTATTCTACTCTTGTTTTTAGTCCCTCTGCACTTGGAGTGGTGGTGGTCACCCTGAGTTATGGGGGTCTGGCCTCCACACCTCATGGAGGTGTGGAGCCTCTGCTTACTCTCCTCTGGCTCCTGTGTCGTCCCCTGTGGCTGCAGGCGGCTCTCTGCTCCTGGTGCAGACGGCTTCTCAGATGGTGCTTCTTCAGCTGACTTTAACCTGCCCTCAGATTCATACTCCATGTTTTTACACCTTAATATATTGTTATTTATCCAAAAATAAATAAAACGTGTGTGTGTGTGTGTGAACAACCTCCATGGTTATAGTTAATATAGTTAATATAGAGAATAAGGGCCCATTAATGAATACTGTGATTGCAGTTTGATCAATACTCTATATATTTTGCTAACCAACAAATGTATAAAAAAACAAAAATAGAGTACTAATGAAGTCATGTTAGAATGTGCAATATGATATCACAATGACAATTCAGTTTTGTGATCTACTGTTTATACTCCATACTTTATTCTTTATTATCATTTATTACTGTTTCAAAACATATTTCCAGATATGAATCATCTTATAATTTATCTTGATTTGACTGCTGTTTAATTCCTACTGTCCTTTATAGTGTCCTGTGCTGCAACACGGAACATTCTCCACTGTGGGACAAATATAAATGATCTTAAACATGACAGGAAGACTCATGGTCAGGTTTTAGTTCTATTTATTTGTGAAATGACCCGGATTTATTTACTCCATAGCCGTATTAGAACATTGCGACTTTGGTAAAAATGATTAAACTTGCTTTCAATAGAATGGTAATACGTGTTCCTATTTCTTGAACAGAATGGTACTTTTTTGTACATTTACTGTGAGTAAGATTTCTGCAGCTGCGAGTACGAGTCCATCATGGGTCATGGATGCTAATGAGGGAAAGAAGAAACACGACTTGTTGGCAGAAAAGGCGTTTGGCCATATGGCTTCATCTGCTGTTGGAGCTGGTGTCTGGGTTTGTTAGTGCAAGGCTGACATTGACACAAACAACATCGGAGACAAAGTTGAGGCTGAAGCCGGAGCGGACTTCAAGACTGCTTCATCTGGAATGTTCTTCCCACGTTAGAGTTTGGACTCAGCTTGACCTGAACTCAAAAGTGGTCAGTCAGTTAAAATACCTCGTTTGTGAATCTCAATAACATTATAAGAACATATTTTAGACTTACATGTAAACGGGATAGTATGTAATATGTACACGGAGGTCTAATGAAGTCATTACAATTACAATCCACATTTTGAATCCTTCTGCCTGTGATACTTTTTTGTATCTGGTTTTATGAGCATAGACCAGTTAGATTACAACAAACAAACTGGCGACCAAAATGAGAGCCTTTCATTCTGTTCTTCGATTGGATAATTGTCTTGAAAATCATAAAAATAAATATTATGGACACCATGTCCATTGTATTTTTTTAAAGGATACTCCAGTATAAACTTTTGTCCAGAAAAGGCCAAATATAATTTGTACATGTGACCTCTTATATAGAGTCACATAGAAAAGATGAGATTTAAAATTGAAATATACTTTATAAACTTGAACCTGACTTTTAAAATGTGAAATAAAGTATAGATGATATTGAAATATCTATAACCAAAAGACAGGACAAGTACAAAGCCTTGTGACTGACAGCTGTGTGCAAACACAAGATGCCGTAGTGGAAAAACATAACCTGCAATGTGGGGCTTGCGAAAGTATTAATCTTTTGTGAGGCAATAATCCTCCACTGGATCGCCGTCCAATGCAGTTACAAATGAATAGTAAGTATTTTTTATTTGTTTTAATAAAAAAAGTGTGTTTCTTGATGCAGCTTTAAATACCATTCTATTGTATAAAAGAGTGTATATTTTGTCTTTACTGAAGGTAAACCTCCATAAGCCTCAACTCTTTTCCTGACTCTATCATTTGTTTCTGCAAATAAGTAGCCCCACAGCATGATGCTGCCCTCTTCAGGTTTGTCAGTGGGAATGCGTGAGTAGAGTAGTTTTTTACCTCACCATGTTTTACATGAAGTCAATAATATAGCCTAATCTGACCTTATTCAACAACCATTAGGTAACTTCAGACGACAATATGTTGCACTTAGAGAAGAGGGGCTGAACACTTTTACATGCCACTTTTTTGTTTGGTTATTGTTAAAAATGTCCCCACTTTCACTTCACTCTGTCTGCCTCAAACATTACTTTCACATTCATGCCATGTTTGTGCTTGTAACATGATGCTTGTAAATCTAGAAAAGTATGAAATAAGGGGTTTTAGGGACTTACCATTATTTCCATTGATATTTGTGGCAGTTGTGTTATTTGGTAACTGTGCTGTAGTTGTCCTGGTGTGTATTTCCTGAAGACTGAAGCTCTGGTCTGTGAGTTCTGGCGCACTGGTTATAGGACCACACAACAGTGTCTCCTCTGTAAGGTTTTCTCTGGCTGAAGGTACACAACATGCATGTGGAGTCAGTTTTATATTGATTTCTCAGTAATCTGAACTGGTTCATGTTTACCTCCGGTCACAATGGGTGATGGCTGTCTGCTCCTGTACCCACTGAAAGGGCATCTACACCTGAGTATGTGTGAGTAAGCTGACCTAAAGTCTCTATTCAAAGCTCCATAGAGGATTGGGTTCAGGGCAGAGTTGGCATACCCCAGCCACAGCACTATGGGGTATTCTGGCACTGTGTTGGGGTCTGGATGCTCCTTCAAGCCTAAAACTGTGAACATGATGAAATATGGCAACCAGCAGACCACAAACGCCCCTATGACCACTGCCAGCGTCAACGTGGCCTTGTGCTCCCGGAGGGTCGCTGCTGTCACATTGGAGACCACTGTGGTGACAGTTGAGCAGGTTTTGCTGTTGTACTTGGTCACACAGGTGGGTCGAGAGCTGGTGATACGCTTGGCCTGTTCCCGAGCAATGCGTAGTATTTTCATGTAAGTCCAGCACATTGCTATGAGGGGGAGGTAAAAAGTGAGGAGAGCATCAGTGAGAACATAAGGCCGGTTGAGCTCGAAACGACAGCTTCTCTCTGACGCCTCTGGCCCCTGGTTTTGTACTGTCCCATTCACAGTGTTCCAACCCATTTGTATAGGCAAAAAGGACACGGCTAAAGACACGGTCCAGACTGTTATCATTGCCACAGCTACTTTCCAGGGCAAAACCATAGAGATATATCTGAGAGGCATGGTCACTGCGAGATACCGGTCTATGCTGATGGCCAGTAATGTCAGGATTGACGCAGTGCATAGCATTACGTCCATGGAGATGTAAAAGTTGCAGAAGACTGGACCCAGCGGCCAGTCGTGGTTGAGCTGGAGGAGGGCAGAGAACGGGAGGACCAGGACCCCCAGTAAGAGGTCCGTCACGGCCAGGGAAACAATGAAGCAGTTTGTGAGGCAGCGGAGGCGACGGGACGCACATACAGCCAGGCACACCAGCACGTTTCCCCCCACAGTTAGAGCAATCAGCAAGCCCAGCGTCACGGCCAGGGCCACATTCACCATGGTGCCATTGATGTCTAAAGATTTGGTGCTCGCGTCCTTTCTTGTGCAAGCTAAAAAACATAAGGATTCTGTGTTAATTGACAGCTCACTTCTACTATTTATTCTTGGGTATGTGCTGCACTGTATAAACATAGTACAAAAAGTATACTTGGCTAAAAAGTATACGTACAGTTACTTAAAATGTCAAAGACTACATTTTTGAACATCTCATCTTGTTTTTGAGTACATTCTATAGTTTTACTCTTCTTCATCTGTGTCACTACTTTCTGTCTACCATTTTTCACACTCTACTGTAACTCATTATAAAAATGAACCTCTGCAGTACAGGTATCCCTTGCTTTTTTGTCGATGCTTTTGTGTGTGTGTTGTTTATACAGCATGTATCTCATGCGCTGCATATACACTCCAACATCATAATTTACAATGTCATAAAACCGCTAATATAACATGACAGTTAACAAAATGTCATGTTTATTTAAACTTTTGTGGCTTTAATGCATTGCAGTGATTAGCTCAGAGAACTACCGCTGCCCTCAGTCTCGCTCCTACCCCTTTACGCACTGTCCTCTGTAGCTGTATTTTATCATGTATGCACGGCTTTTGACAGCTGCAAAAGCGATCCGACCTCAAACTGGTTTTATCTCTGCAATTGCAGCAGTCGTTCAGGTTAAGGTGGTTATAAGAGTGTATAAGGTGTGTCAATTGAGGGGTTTTGCAGCCTACAGAATAATCATATTGCTGCTACTTTGCGGTTTTATTTTTGCAGTTTTATTTGGAATCTACTGGAATTTTACTGGAAAATCAATATTGTATTTTTTTTTTTTTACATGAATATCTTGAATGTTTATACCCTAACCCTTCATCTATAGACTAACGATATATATTTCGATCCTATTATTATTAGTTACAATAAAAGAAACGTTGCATGCATTCTAATTTTAAGTGCACATCTTATTTGTTTTCTTTCTTTACAATGAACTTGAGAAAATTATTATGTGCTGCAAAATTTGTCATGGACATAACAATGGATAAACAGCAGAAATAATAGAAAATATATATTATATCGTATTGTCCCTCATACACTTATCTGGGTAATATATTGTTTTGAATATTTTGTGTTTTGAACTGAAAGTAACTTGGCAGTAACACAAATACTTAAATACATGTTTTACATTCTTATCCTCATGACTAGTCATGTATGATCTATTTCCATTTTAGAGTAACTAGCCCAGCACTGACTGGAGCACTGCATGTTAATGAACATTAAACAAACATGATGTAAACACGATTATTGCCCAAGTCTAATTTACGCCTGAGTCCTAGGAGGGCTGGGATCTCACAAATTCATTAACTTGTGTTTGTAGTACTATTTGTGTGATGCTGGCACATACAGACAAGTCATACTTACTTTGTCGTCCATTTTAAACAGAACTTCCCATCTTCTTACAGTTTTCTTGTGTTCATGTTAAGTAACCGTTGATCTGTCTCTAACCTGGATGCCATGTAATCATAAGTGTGTTTTGGCTCTTGAAACCTCTGGTATTTTCGATGTTGGGCCGTGACATTTGCAATCCTTTGGTTGGGTGTGGAGCTGTCCATTTCGGTCAGTATCTCCATTTCTCACAGTCAGCGCCCCAACGTGTTAGCTGGTCTGCAGTGACACCTAGTGGAGAGAGCTCAGTGTTACACTCAGAGTGGTGACCTTAAAACAGAGTGAAGATAACAAGATGTTCCATAGATTTAATTCGATCGTCCATCCAACACAGGCTCAGACCATTTCTTAAACAGGCCTTGTATATATCTGGATAGTGCTGCAATGCTTTCATAAAATTGACAATCACCAGCAAAGAGGATTTTACAACATAAAATACTGAAGCAATGTGGTCCTATTGTTTTTACAAAATACAATTTAGGAATTCAACTTATGAAAACAAATAATTGTACGTGTGTAATGAATTGGCTCATTTTGAATATTGCTCCATAGTGATGACAACACTGAAGCCCGGCAGCCTGTTAAGACATAATATCACCACAACACCTTTAATGTGCATTTCTTCGAGGCTGTAACCCCTTCTCGAGAAAAGCAGGAGCAATCTGAGTGAAGAAATTAGTTTCTCACTATCTATAATGGATTCCATGCTATAATAAAGCACCTATAAATTGTTAATTTTCAAAGCAAAGGCAGCGTTAGCCTGTCTCCAACTGAAAGCCACATTATTAACCTTGTAGAATATTTTATTTTTTTAGGGGAATCCATTCAAGTTTGTATGAGCCTGATTTGAGAAGAATGTGTGCTCACAGTAAAGACATAGACACAGAAAATATATAAATAGTATAAACATATTTACTGTATTATGTAAATAGTATGTTTCGGCTTTTTCAGTCAAAAAAGTGAAATAAAGAACCACTCACAGGGTCATTCCTACAAGTAATTCAAAAAATGTTAAATAATATGATAAACCCTAACCGTTTCAAAATCTGTTTGAGACACGAATCATGATGTGATTTCAGTTAGGATAAATACAGTTGATCAAAAAGGTTTGAAAATATTTTTTTGTTAGCTTTATTACTAAAATAGTTTTTTTCTACATTTTAAAGGTAAACAAAGCTATTTTACAGGCAGGGCTTAAAGATGCAGTCAGTGATTTTGTCCAGACGTATTTTTTTAAATATTGTGGGAAAACATCCCTAAACCCTAAAAGTAGTCAAGATATCATGCGTTTTCAAATTTTGCAACGGACTGATGAAAATAAACCATGGGATTTGTTCATCCCCAATGAACCAATAGGATGCGTTTACCCCCCTTCACCCTCTTCCTGTTTCTCGCGAGTGTGCGCACCATGGATCTATTATAATGCACCTGAGTTATCGGATTTTCTACAACCTAAAAGGGCTAAACAGAAAATGCCAATTTCACATTTCCCTGTTGTGACGAAGAAAATAAAATGCTGGATGTTTGGTTTGGTGGAGAGGCAAGGGCAGGGGGGGAGTGGTTTCGACAATAAAAACAAGCATTGAAATTATTGAAGTATATAGAAATGAACCTTATACTTATCATTTATTTATCTTTTTGAGCATCTGTTGAAACACAACACAAAATATAAAATTAAAAAATACATATACAAATATAGACAAAGAGTTCACTCAGAACATGATGCTCAAAAGGAGAAGGAGAAGGAGACTTATTAAATCCTTCCCCTCTTGAATGATCTATTATTTACATTTACATGATATTTACGGAATTATTTCAAAGTAGAATTAGCTTCAATAGGTAAATGAAATGTGAAAAGTTCATTTTGTCTAAGTTTGTTTGAAGCTTAGAAGGTTCTTTTAAGAAGACGAAAAAGAACGCCTTAGTACAATATAGTCAGAAGTTTAACACAATAGTAATTTATATTTCTTTGCAATATATTGTAGGTCAGTAATTTAGACACAACATCTCAAGCTTTACTCAAATAGAAAATATATTCTAACAATAATCCATCAATCCATCCATTTTTGTTTGCTTTATTGTTGTCCACGCTTCCCTATCCACGAGCACATCCTCAAACAGATCTGAGGAATCCTGAGGCGTTCACAGGCCAGCTGAGAAACATAGTCCCTCCAGTGTGTCCTGGATCATTGCCAAGCTCCTCCCATGTGAGCAAGATCCTCACATCTAAAGGTAGCGCCCAGACACACTGTGGAGGAAACTCATTTCAACATATTGCGATATCCGCGATATTGTCATTTCGGTCATTACCCAAAGCTCATGACTCGAGGAGAGGGTGGGAACGTAAATTGCTCAGCACTATGCACGCTGGATCCGTCAGTCAATCTCACGCTCCATCCTCCCCTCACTCGTGAACAAGACTATCGAGATACTTGAACTCCTCCACTTGAGGAAGGACCTCTCCACCCACTTGGAGTGGGCATGGCACCTTTTTCTGGTCGAGCACCATGGCCTCGGATTTGAAGGTGCTGATTCTCATCCCAGCCGCTTCACATTCAACTGCAAACCATGTTGAAGGTCCTGGTTTGTTGGAGCAAACAGGGCAATATCGCCAGGAGATAAAATCTTGTGGTCCCCAAACCGGACACTCTCCGGCCCTCTTGACGACACTTAGAAATTCTGTATATAGACAGTGAACCGGTGACAAAGGGCAGCCTTGGCAGAGGCCAACATGTACCGGACTTACTGCCTCCAATACGAACGCAGCTCTGACTCCGGTCATACAGACACTGGACAGCCCTCAGCAAAGCACCCCAAACTCCCGAAGATAACCCCCCTAAGGGACATCCCGGGAAACACGGTCTAAAAAACATATATCATAGAACTGGTCCAGTGTTCCACGGCCTAGAAATACAGTATCTGAATTTAAGATATGCCCAGTCTTTCCTCCAGTTCCTTGGGGTAGGTCTTATCAGAGGGGCAGAGGAGTGTGATCCCACAATAAATGGAACACATCCTCCAGCTTCCTTCTTGAAAAGAGGGGCCACCTCCCTGGTCTACTTCTAAGGGACTGTCTCCGATTGCCACATGATGTTGCATAGATAAGTCAGTCAAAACAGTCCCACAACATTTAGACTCAAGATAGGCTCGAGCTCATCTGCTCCCTGGGTCTTGCCACAGAGGAGGCCTCTGACAACATCAGTGACTTCAACAGGGGGTGGCAAGTATTCGTCCCAAGATCTTCAGCCTCTGCCTCCAAATCGTGACAGGGGAGAACCTTCAACCACGGTTGAAGTATTCCTTCAACTTCCCGACAATATCCCCAGTTGAGGTCAGAAGCTCTCCATGAGTGGTGTTGGCAAAGTACTGCTTCCCCTTAAGAGGCAGTTTCCCAGAATCTCTCTGAGGCCAACCGACAATCCTGGTCCACTGACTCTCCAAACTCCTCCTTAGTGTTTTGGGACATTTTGCCTGCAATCTCATGCAATTGTGCTAAATTGCAATGTCTTGCTCTTTAAGATTTACATTTAACATACAACTAACAATATGGATTCCGCTATTGAACTAA